ATATTCCTTTCAAAATATTATTGGTCAGTGACAATGCACTTGGTTACCCAAGAGCTCTGATGGAGATGCACCAGGAGATTAATGTCTAGAGGTCAGACTTCACCACGATCCATAGGACTGCCAGGACCCAGGACCCGCACGCACACGCAGATGCTTGAGCCACAGAAGCTGGGAAGAGTGTGCCATGGGAGAGGCTCTGTGCTGTGAGCACTTCACGTGTCCTGCTATCTCAGCGACACTTAGCATGCTGAGTCCCTGCTCCACTGATGACCTCAACACCTCAAAGTCATCCAGGTGGGTTGAAATCAACTTCTTTCACACTCCTGTTAACGTTGACATTTTAACCTCCTCCCATGAATTGACAAATATTTTTTAATGGCATCTAGAATAGTGAATCCTTCCCAAATGGTTTTCGATTTACACAGCATCCATTCTGCAGTCTTTGAATCCAGGAGTAATTTTGACTTTCAAGACTTATTATTTTAAAAACACATTTTGAACAGCTATAGCTGCCACAGATATTGATTCTTCTAATGGATCTGGCCAAAATAAATCGAAAACCTTTTGGGGAGGATTCACTATTCTAGATGTCGTTAAAAATATTTGTAATTCATGGGAGGAGGTTAAAATGTCAACATTAACAGGAGTATGAAAGAAGTTGATTTCAACCCTCCTGGATGACTTAGAGGGGCTGAGGTCGTCAGTGGAGGAAGTAGCTGCAGAAGTAGTGGAAATGGCAAAAAACAACAACAACAACAAAACAAAACAAAAAAACTAGAATTAGAAGTAGAGCCTGAAGTTGTGACTGATTTGCTGCAATTCAGCAATTCATGAACAAATTTGAACAGATGAGGAGTTCCTTCTTCTAAATGAGCAGAGAAAGTGGTTTCTTGAGATGGAATCTATCTATTGCATCTACTTCATCTACTCCTGGAGAAGATGCTATGAGCATTGAAATAACAACAAAGAATTCAGAATATTACATATACTTAGTTGAAAAGGAGCGGCAGGGTTTGAGAAAATTGATCTCAATTTTGAAAGAAGCTCTACTGTGGAGAAAATGCTATCAAACAGCTTTGCATACTACAGAGAAATCTTTCATGAGAGGAAGTCAATCGATGCAGAACACTTCATCGTTGTCTTGCAAGAAATTGCCATAGCCGGAGTGAGGGGCACACCTGGTCAACAAGGGTACTTGCATAATGACCATTTGTTTACCTAACCCTGAATTGTACCCCACATCTTTAAAATAAAAAAAAAGAAGTTGGCCACAGCTACACCTACTTTCAGCAACCATCACCCTAATCAATCAATAGCCTTCAACATCAAGGCAAGACCCTCTACCAGCAGGAAGATTATGACTCATTGTAGGATCAGATGATCATTAGCAATTTTTAACAATGAAGTATTTTAAATTAAGTGCATACTTTTTAGAGACATAATGCAATTAAACATTTTGGCTACTTTATAGTGTAAACATGACTTTGATGACTGTGTGGCATTGAACAATTTCTGTCTTATTGGTGATGATGTCTTAGGTATCCCATGTATAAAATGAGGGGAAATAATTATGTAATCTCTAAGGTCCTCCATAATTCTGACATGATTCTTTGTTTTCCCCCCATAATATCTTTGGATAGGCATAAACTATAGCATCTCTTTGAAGTTTAGTTATTGAAGAAGAGAGAGCTCTAACTGAGTTTCTAGGTTAAACCAACTTCCTATTTCCCATGCAATAATTTAGTGTACATCCAAAAAAAATTATTGGTAATCTAGTGAAAAGTTGTAGAAAAGTCTATTGAAAATATTTTTGGGGTGATATTTAGCACTGATGTTTACTTAAAAGTTTTAAGGTTATTGATGAAGAATACTGCTAATATATTGACAGTTAGCAGAGGATGAAAATGCATTCTCATAGACGTTAGCCTTTCAGTAAAAGAGGTTGCACAGTGTATTGGCATTATATTCAGGAATTTTGAATCAAAATGTTAGCTTTCCTATGAACTCTCAGGGTGATTAAAATTTATATTCAGGGACTTTAGTATCCCAGCTATAAATCCATCTGGAATAGGTAATCTCTGAAGCCCCTTACAGTTTGTCAATGATTCTATGAGGATTCTCCTTTCTATAGCCTTCTAGTAATCCAAGAAGTGGTTTTTCATTCAATTTATGGATCTATTTAACAGAAATTGACTTAGGCTAACCAGGGTTAAGATCTTCCACAGTGACAGTTAAGGGATAATGAGAAAGAGGGTTACATAATATCAGTTGAGCTACCGCAGTCTTTTCCTTCCCAGCCCAAGTCCGGTGGACCCAAAATATTGGTGTAATAAACCAAAGATGGGCTGTCACCTGACATGTCTGTGTTTATCTCTCCAGCATACTGATGTCAGCACTACAGTTCCCTTCTTTCTTGCCTCTTCCTGGAGAGGAATTTGTATCACTTCTTCTGATCAGTTCACTAAACTAGTCAGTCATCTCTATCTACCCTTGACTAGGTTCCAGTGCCATCTGGCTTAAACTTTCCTGGTGGCTTTAGTCTGATAAGGGTGTCAATCTTTTTGCTGCTAATATTTATATTTGAATAATGCCATTTCAGTGCACATATTACTATCCTTAAAAAGAGAAACAAATGTTGATTACTTCTAGATATAAAGCATTAGGCCTGAAAAATTTAATATACTATTTAATATTAGTATAACATATCTATGAAGTTATTTTAATTTTAAAGATCCCAAGGCTAATATGAGAGGCATTATATGACTTTCCTAAGTTTGCACAACTAATGAATTCCCATGCAGACTCATCCTAGTGCCCTTTCTCCATGTGTATCTGTTTTATAATTCGATTGCCTCAGCAGCCCTATACGTTTAGCAGGAGAATGGTTGCTTGCCTTGTTTTATTTATTTTGGTTTCTGCTCCATCGCAATACCTAGCAGAGTAATAAGCATATAGATATACTCAGTAAAACGCACTGAATGGGTAAGTTAATTCAATTGGGTTTATAAATTAAGGAATTTGCAGTCCAAAATGACTTTTCCAAGGTTACCAGTTAGAATGGCAGTTTAAAGTGAGAACTGTTCAGTTCAGACGTTTCTACTATTCTGTAGATCTTTCTCACGGTCTTTTCAGAACAGGAGCCTTGCTCACTACTAAGGATAAATGTTGGTGAGGAGACATATTGCATTGTTTCTTAAGACGTTTTCTTTACTGGTATCTGGTATCTTGTGGCTTATATAGCTCTGATTAACTGGATGCTAGAGATAGTTATTATATATTTATTAATGTCAACATTCTGTGTTCAAGTTAAGAAAAATGAAAACTGAGATCCATAGTACTGTAACTTGCTTAAAGTTTCCCCCTGACTCACAATTACGGGTGACACTAGGACCGAAAATGTCTAGCTCCTGGTTCATTGCTTGATTCTACACCATGTTTCTTGATCCTTGGCAATGGCCATATCTTTCACTATGTCCCTCTTTTCCTTTACCTACACTGGATCTTTCTTTATTTTTAGTCCTATTAAGTCACACCAAGCTTCTTCTCAAAGTAGGAGTCACAGCGTCTGGGTCTGGTTAGGTAGTTAATAAAGTGCATAGTCTTCAGAAAGGCTTGCAGAAAGCATGCACACTGGAGAAGCAGGAGGTAGCTGAGAGACCCTAAAAAATAAGAAAAGTTGAGAGGGTGTAGCGAAAAGGGAACACTTCTACACTGTTGGTGGGAGTGTAAACTAGTGCAACCTCTGTGGAAAGCAGTGTGGCGATTCCTAAAAGCTCTAAATATCAACCTCCCATAGGAACCCACAATCCCCCTACTGGGAATATATCCTGAAGAACTCAAATCACTCTATAAAAAAGATACCTGCACACGTATGTTTATCGCAGCATTGTTCACAATAGCAAGAACCTGGAAGCAACCATGCTGTCCATCAAAAGAGGACTGGACTAAAAAAATGTGGTACATATACACGATGGAATACTACGCAGCCATAAAAAAGAACAAAATCATGAATTTTGCAGCAACCTGGATGGAACTAGAGTCTATAATATTGAGTGACTTCTCACAGAAACAAAGATCTGAGTATCACATGTTCTCACTCATACAGTGGACCTTGAACATCCAATGTAATACTATAAGAAAATGACTGACAGTAGTGGGAAACTATGGGGGGGTAGGGAGATGGAATTAACGGTAATAAATATCTGTCTGGGGATGGAGAAACACCTCTTATCAACAAGGGTGCCTGAACGAAGCGTATTTGTATACCTAACCCTTAACTGTACCCCACAATATCATCATAAAAAATATTGATTATATAAAAAAATAAGAAAAGTTTGATTGTAGCTTCATCTCTGCCTCTCGCTAGCAGAATGAATGTGGGAAAATTTGGTTTCTTCTATGAGCTTGTTCCCATGTATAACATGAAAGAAATCAGTGAGTCTCTAGAGAGTCTTAAAGTCTGGTGGCTTTAGTGTTCAATGGACTAGCACTGCTTGGTTGCCCTATCTCCACAGGATGGAGGATGGGGCAGACTAGATGCAATTCAAGGGTCTATCTGACTCTGTTGTCCTGTAACCTTATGTTTGTCTGGGCTAGACGAGAGGCACATTCTCACTGACGACATTACCCTTCTTTATTTCGAGGCTGTACATTCACTCAACAAAATTTTATGAATCAACGGTATGTAAGGTACTGTTCCTAGAGACATTCTGTCCAGAATTTCTGCTTGTGTCTCTCAACTGCTGGGATGGGGATGGTACATATGCTTGGTAAAGCTCATGCCAGTGATGGAATAAAAGCTCAAGTCTTGACCACTGTCTCCTATACAGATAATCATTGTGACAAATAGAAAGTGCTTGCTGTTTTGGTTAAGTTATAGGGCTATGTAATTGGCCAGTTTACTGATTGAAATCTTCTTGGTTTAAAACATTAATGTTTACACATGTATTTATTTTCCTAAAAAACATTATTTTCCTTCTCTTTTTGTTACATGGCCTCAGACTCTCTCCTAAGCATGCTCCAGATATTCCTGATGACAGCACTGACAACATCACTATCTTCACCAGAATCTTGGATCGTCTTCTGGATGGCTATGACAACAGGCTGCGACCTGGGCTTGGAGGTTAGTTATTATTTTAAGATTCTCTTCTTGACCAGTGTAATCTAAAAACAGTTATAAGCTGCATTCAGTAGTCTGTTGACCAATGAGTTTAATGTAAAGCTGAGTTTCTTCCCTATGAGCACTAGAAATTAGTTATTATCCTTCATTTCAGTGAGTGACTTCTCTGGTCTGGTTTTGGAAAATTCTGGATTTCACTTAGGAAAATGGATCTGAATTATTACACAGATGGTCCCTAATTTAAGATGATTTGACTTATGATCTTTTAAGTTTATGACATAGCCTGATGCATTTCAACTTACAATATTTTCAGCTTATGACAGACCTTTTGGGATGTAATCCCATCATAAGTCAAGGAACATCTATACCTCCAAATTAGACAATGTTGATTTCTAGTAACAGACTATCATTCCCTGCCTGGATAACGGGTATGGCCCAAAGACAACTGGGAAACGTGCCTTTGTTCCCCAAACCCTGAGCATACATCAGCCTGGCGCTCCAAAGAAAAGCAATCTATTGGCTAGATGAAATCTTAGTTGGCCATCAGTTTAGCATAATCAGTAATATGATAACAATAAAATAAAGGCATTGTAATATATCATGGGCATAACGAGTGTGCAAGTGTGTGTGTGTATACTTTTTTCCTGAACTTGAAAATTAGTTGTAGATATCATGTCTTTTTGTCACTGACTACTTTAGTATGAATTTCCTTAAAACAAAGAAATTATTTTGTATGTCCATGTAAAAAACCTGCACATGTAACCCTGAATCTGAAATAAAATTTAAAAAAAACTATAATAACAAATTTTTAAAATGTAAGCTCATATACTATTTTCTAATTTGCAATCCATATTCGAATATCGCCAATTATTCCAAAAGTGTCCTTTATAGCAGTTTTCCTTGATTTAGGATTCAATCCAGGATTAGGCATTGCATTTATTGTCATGTTTCTTTAGCCTATACTCAGCATTTCTTTGTCTTTCATGATGTTGATTAGGTCTTCCTTATTCATTTTGGAAGTAACACCGCAGGAATTAATTGTGTCTTTCTCAGCACATACTCAGGAAGGGATATGGTGTCTGTTTGCCTTGCTGTTGGTAATGTTAATTTAAATCCTCACCAAGCTACTTCACTCTAAAATGACTATTTTTTTCAGGTATAATTAATAAGTAATTTGTGCAAAGATACTCTGAGACTGTTCTATTCCTCTTCCAACTTGCGCTCAATAGTTTTAGAAACTATTGATTATTCTTTCATGAATAATAACAATTATGACTGCAAAACTGTGATTTTCTAAATCTATTATTCTTCTACATTTATTAGATGGTATTCTCTTGTAAGAAAAAAATCATTCTTTTTAATTAGCTAATGTCAGTATGAATGGATTATTATTTTATTCAATGGATTATAATTTATTAATACAATTATCCATTTTGATGAATATTTTTGGTCATAATTTTCCATATTTGACTGCTGGGAGCCTACTCAATTTGGCTTTCTTTTTTCCCTTTTGACATGTTCTCATTTTTTGAGCACGTTCTTATTATATGGTATAACAGTACATTCCAGAGTTGTCTTGTACTTTCCAAGATCTAGCCCTGGTATCATTCATTTTTTCCAAAAAGAAATAATATCTTTTTGTCGAAAATTATATTTAGAATCTACCTTCTAGGTGCTAGGTGTTCTCATTACTACTAGAGTATCAATTGATTCCAGGATTTTTCAGTAGACAGAACTGAGAAAAGAGCAAATACACACACACACACACACACAGATACAGATGTTTTATATATATATATACACATACCACATATATTCGTACTTATACATGCACACATATATTTATAAATATGAGCATCAATATACGTGTATGTATAGTTGTATATATATGTATGTGTGTATGTATAAGTTTACATTGACACCACTAATTCCAATCCAATAAAATGTTTTTCCCTGATATATTTACCCATTTGCTCAATCCTACAATATACACAGAATAGTTTTGAAATTACTACACCCATATCACTACAATAATCACACTAAGTAAAGTTAAATCTTTATTTGCAGTTTTTTGTTATTTGTTGTTAGACTAAGGCTACGTGATACTTGCTTTAATATAAATAATGGATTGGAGTAGGACAGAATTGAGGACTGCAGGAATTGAGAGAATTTGGCAACTGCTTAGAGTATAGAGTCAGAAAAAGGAGGGGAAGAGAGGATAATTTATAGGTTCTTGGCTTATATGATTGGGGTGTGCAATTTTCTAAAATAGAGGGCAATGAAGGAGGAGCAGCACTGTTTTTATTCTTTTGGAGTTGCGGTTGGAACAATGAATATGGAAGGAAAGGTGGAAATTTGTTCAATTGTAGATATGTAAAATTTGAGTGCCCATGAGAAATATGAGTGAATAATTTTGCCTCTGCCTAACATGAAGTAACAAAGATAAAATTTATCCTCTCATCTTAAACAACAACCAGAAATGGGCAAACATACAGTGTTTTTCAAAAATTGAACAAAGACAGCACAGGATAATGATCTCTGAATAAAAGAAAACAAACAAGGCAAGCCCTATAGTTGCATATGCTTACGGCCAGGAGAAAAATTTTGGACTACAGTGCAGGGAAGGGCAACCCAAATAGTGCTTGGTGGACTCCCTCAGTTGATAAGAAGGAGTTGAGAAATTGGGGAAGCCAAGGTGGCCAATTTATAGGGGCAGAGAAAAAGGTAGACCTCCATGAAGAGGAGAAAGTTGTGGGCGGGAGAGAGAGAGAGAGAGATCCCCCAAATCTGCAGAGGGTTCTTCTCATGCTTTCAGGTAGGTATCATTTAGCTCATGCATATGAAGAAACAACCCAATTTAGAGGAAAAGACCACTGGAAAACAGTGAGTGAAACATCAGAGTTGAGAATCACTTGTGTTTCCACCAGAGTCTCCACCACTCTACTTGGTGGAAACACTTGTAACACACGGGGCGTGGGGTAAGGTACTTTAAAGAATATGGCCTCAGTGATATGGCAAAACCATCCCAAGACTAAAGGCTGCTCTAATCCCATATAACAAGGCTTAAAATCAAGCTTCAAGCACGTTTGACTGTTTCCAAGTAACACTACCTCAGAACAAAAAAACAAGAATATTTATAGCAATACAAAAAATACCTTATGTCTAACAAATTAAAATTTGCAATAGCTGGTGTTCATTTAAAAATTAGCAGGCATGCAAAGAAACAAGAAAACAATTTAAAAGTGGCAGAAAATCTAATTAATAGAATCAAATATATAAATGATACAGGTAAAATAATTAGTAGATAAGTACATTAAAACAATTATTATATCTACACTGCATATGTTAAAATGGTAGAGGAAAGCATAAAATATGTTGAGCAGAGACATGTAAGTTAAAAAAATAAGCAAATTAAACTGCTAGATGTAAAAATAAAGTATCTGAGATGAAAAAATACACTTACAGCAGATTGGACATGAAGAAGAAAAGACAAATAAGCTTGAAAGCATAGCAATTGTAACTAGCAAAAACGAAACACAAAGAGAACAAACAGACTAAAAAATTAAATGGACATCAACACATTGTGAGCTAGCTTCAAGTACCCAAATATCATTGAAATTGGATTATTTGAAGAGGGGTAAAAATATATTTGGAAGAAAAACTGACCAAAAATTCTAACTTTGATAAAAATTGCAGTTTCTCAAAACCAAGAAACTCAGCAAACCCAGGACAAGAAGCATGAAGAATATTACACCAAGGGAAATGAGAATATTGCTTCAAACCAGTGATAAAAAGAAAATCTTAAAAACAAATAGGGTAAAACAAGACATTGTGTACAGAGAAAAATCTTTAGAAGAATACCAGACTTCTTGTTAGAAGGTGATAGAGCAACAGCTTTAAAGTACTGAAAGAAAAAACAAATCAGCCTAGAATTCTGTTACCAGAGAAAATAAATTTCAAAAAAGGCAAAATAAACACTTTTGCAAACATGTAAACACTAAAAAAAAAAAAAAAAAATCACCAGCCAATCTGTACTGCGAGCGAAATGAAAATGATGCCAGATAGAAATATGGATCTATACAGAGAAAGGAGGGGCAGCAGAAATGAAAAACATGTGGGTAAATATAAAATATTTCCCCATTTTTAAATCTTATTAAATAATTAGTTAAAGCAAAAATAAAAACAATGTATTGTGTGACTTGTAATCTATGTATGTCAGTGATAGCATAAAGAAGATGAAGTGGGAACAGACTGTTGAAAGGTTTTTATGTTATATATGAAGTAATATAATATTATTCGTAGGTAGACTGTGATATGGATGTGTACTATAACTTGAAAAATTACAGATAATAAAGGAACAAAGGCTATATAAATGAAATAAGATAATCGCTCAATCCAAAAGAAGTAATAATAAGTAACAGAACAAGTAGACAGAAAATAAGTAAGGCATCAGAAAAACCACGCTATCAACCAACTTGATTTAACTGGCATTCATGGAGCACTCCAACCAACAATAGCAGAATACACATTCTTTTCACATGGACCTGAAACATTTACCAAGATAGACCATATTCTGGGTCATAAAAACTTTTTAGAAATTTACAACATAAAAACTATGTTCTGTGGCCATGATGAAATTAAATTAAAAGTGACTAACAGAAAAATTTCCAAGTTCTTGGTAACTAAATAATATACTTCTAATTAACCCACGAGTCAAAGTAAAAATCAAAAGAAAAATTTTAAACTTTTTCCATGGAATGAAATAGAAAACACAATACAAAGCAGCGATAAGAAGAAAACGTATAACATTAAATGACTGTTTTAGAAAAGATTAACCTCAAGTCAATGGCCCAAGCATTCACATTAAATAAGTAGGAAAAATGAATAATAATAAAGTTTTAAATATTATTAAATAATTGAATGTTAAATATAATAGTATATTATAATAAATTGCTCTATAATAAATATTATATAACATATTGTATGCCATATATTATTATTAATGTAAATTTTATTATCTAGAACTAACATGTACTATT